TTTTCTTATTTCTTGTTCCATTAACACCTACTATTTACAGTTACCGTTACAGTCTATCTATATATTGAAGATTGCCTGGGAATATATTTTCCATAGTTTTATACGTGGTAGAGCCATGCTGCATTTATATTAGTAGTATAGTTATAACAAGAATGGGTCGGCTCGACCGGGGAAGTACCAGGCTCTCACAGAATACCAGCGCAAAATAGTAGTTTAATGCTACCGTGTTTCGTATGGTGAGTGTAGAGAACCAGACACCTTTGTAATGGAAACGAGGATTTCTTCTCTCACGGTGAAGAAATTTGTGAGGATGTGGTAGATGTGGGCGACTTCTATAAAAATGTGTATTAGTTATGTGTATTTGGTTTTTTTCTGTCGTTTAGGTGGTATGTAGAGCGTGTCCCTACATCAGTCAGGCCGACCCATATGTGCTACAACCATAATATAGCTGCAACGTAGTTCTACCACATTAATGTATCTAAGGTACGAGTATTGAATCTGCCAACTCACATTCGGGCAGCGAATGGTGGAGATTAACTATACTTAAAACTTATTAGAAAATGGTCATACCTTCCGTATGTGCGCAGTCGTGGGACATATGAGGGGAGGTTAAAAACTTCGCGGAATGGCGAGGTTGGCGAGGGTGAGTTTACTCATCCCGGTAGGCGCTAGTTGAATAAATCATTGTCAGTATATACCAAGTTTCACCCAAATCGGGTCATTACCTATTGAGTTATCAACGAGTAAACAAGTCAATCGGGAAGTAACTAGCCACTATGGAGAAAGTTTCTCACCAAACAAAGAAAGACACCATAAACCATTTTTCAAGAGATGTCAGGTGTTTATGGGGACTTCGTTTCTGGGAAAACTCCATTGAAAAGCCACCCGAGCGGGACGGTCAATTGAGGCTACCACGCCAGAAATAATCAAAAAATTTGAAAAACTTGTATAGGACGATGCAAAGCTAAAGAAAAAAAACAGCTTGCAGCATTAGTTGGAGTATCAGAAACAACCATTTAAACATCCTACATAAACACCTAGGAATGACTAAAGTCTGAGCAAGATGGGTTCCGAGAATGCTTTCTGCGCATTAAAAATATGAGCGCGTCGAAAGTTGTCACGAGTTTTGGACTGCTGTGGAGAGCAAAGGGATAGATATAGCTCGAATAATAGCTGACTATGAAACTTGGATTCACCATTATGAACCTGAGTCAAAGCAGGAATCGATGCAATGGCATAAAAAGCCACACCCTTTCCTAAGAAGTATAAGGTGTCTCAATCGGCCGGAAAGATTATGGTGAAAGTCTTTTGGGATACAGAAGGTATCCTTTTGATTGATATTAAGGAACTTGGTGTCTCCGTAACGGAATAATACTTCGCTCCTTCACTAAATTAATTAAAAGAAGCTATTAAAGAAAAGAGGCGAGGAAAGCTTACAAAAGGCATGCTCCCTTTGCATGACAATGCGTCTGTGCATACAAGCCATATTGCGACGGCTGCCATTCACCGGTGCGGTTTTGAACAACTGCGCCACCCATCCTACAGCCCAGACCCGGCCCCAAGCGACTATTATTTGTTTACAAAAATGAAGAAAGAACTGCGTGGGAAGAAATTTGGCGACGATGCTGAAGTGAAGTTGCCAATTTAGGCATATTTTGACGCCCAAGACAAATCTTTTTTTTAGACTGTATTAATAAGTTATTTGACAGATCTAATAAATGTATTAGGTTAAGGGAGAATACATTGATAAGGAAAAATAGTTTAATTCATTATGCTTCCCTGTCATTTCGCAAACATTTTGACTTCCCCCGTATGTTATGGGCTTATTTTTTTTTTTTATAGGATAGGGTGACAAATGAGCACACAGTCCACCTGATGGTAAGTGGTTCCTGCGGCCCATAGACATCTTCATATACCCTCGATTGCAAATCAAAATGCAGATGCGTTGTCACCCCTAAGTACTAAGATGGAGTGCCTTGTTTCCAGTAAAAAGGGTCTCCGGTTCTCAACACTCACCATACGGAAAACAGAAGCATTAAGCTACTATTTTACGCTGGTATTCTTTGAGAGCGTAGTCCTTCCCCGGTCGAGCCGACCAATTCGTGCTACAACTATACTACTAATATAACTCAGTGGCGAAGCTAGAGTTGGAGCTAGGGCAAGCCCAAGATATAAATTGATAAAAATATAGATTGTTGTTTTTACCAGTTTTATAAAAATACACCAATCTTGATCTGTCTCCATGCTTCAGTTTCATATTTAGTGCTGTCAAGGACGTGTTTAACAAAGCACACAGAAGGCATACCTCTGCTAGATAGATTGTATTACATATCAGCAATTGCATAGCTTCGGTGGCTTTGAAGAAAGCCGTTTGGGTTTGTTTAAGCGAAAAAAAAATTTACATCCAATACAATACATGAACAAAAGTACAAAAGTAAAACACGAACAAAGTATAAACAAACTATGTACAAAACTAAAAAAAAAAACAAATTATTTACATTCTATTGATTAAGAGATAAGATAAGATAAGTGGAATCGTCTCGCTTTCTTATGGAAAGATTTAATTACGTCCACGTAAAATGTTGGTGAACGTTTTAATTGTACCAATAACTGTTTTTAATTGCGATAATTGATAAGTTTGAAATACACTCTTAACCTTGTGTATTATCTCAACAAAGTTTAAAGATTTCCTCTCCGATTATCACTTTAACACACTTCAATTCATCACAAGGAACACTATTATCCTCCATTTTCATTAAAAATCTTTAAAAAAGCATACATTTTGAACTCGTAATATTAAATTGCTTTCTTAAGCTTATCTTAAGTACAGAGTAAATAAACATTGAGACGTGAAATGAACTTGCAAACGTATTGCCCGCGCGCCTCCGCTTTTAACAAATTTATTCTCAAAAGCCTGGCTTTAAATCTCTTTACTAATTGCTATAAATACAATCGTAGTTATATTTCATTATAGAATATTTTCCCATAGGTTAGAAAGAGAGCGATCGTCTTCTCGAAAGCCCCGTAAAAAGCCCACGCGAGCGAGGGAGACAACTATTAGCTCTATTAAAACTAATTTTTTATGACAGCAGCAGTATCGCTAATGTCGCCTCTACACGTTGGCCAACACAGTGGCGAATGTAGTGGCGAATATATTGGCCGAGAGTTGGTGACGGCATCCACACGTTGGAAGGTCGTTTAGTTTACTTCGGTTCGGGCCAATGTGCGGACGAATTTATTTTATTTTACGGCGCCTCTACACGTTGGCCAACACAGTGGCGAATGTAGTGGCCAATAGCATTGGCCAACGTGTGGACGGGGTGTTTGGGCTTTATTGGTATGTATTGGAACGATGGCCCGCAAGTTCGCGCAAGATCCATGTGGTGTCGGTTTTTTACAAAAGATCAAAGGATTGTTGGCAGAGTTTGGTCGCCGCGTCCACACGTTGGCCGCGAGTTTAGTTTGCTACAAGCTCCCAGAGTGATTACACGCATCTGATTAAAATTTTATATTCTCGCTTTGTAGGGTGGATGACCCAATTACCAGCCTTTTAGTGCCAATTTCAACTTTCCTACTACTTTAATTAGCGCGATATAATTATTTTATTTGGTAATTTAATTATTTTTTGAGAAAGACAAAAACAATAGCAATAAATATAATAATAGGTACTAATTATAACTTAGAACATAAATGAAAAACTCATGACAAGGAAAGTGGCTCAGGACCATGCTTTGCGGCATTCTTTGGAGGAGGATGTTCAGTAGTGGACTTGTGAAGAGCTGTAATGATGATGATGATTCGAAAACTTGCACGATTAAATTATAAGAAATCGACGCTTTTTTATATAGGATAGGGTGACAAACGAGCACACAGTTCACCTGATGGTAAGTGGTTGCTGTGGCCCACAGACATCTACATCTATCCTCGATTACGAATCAAAATGCAGATGCGTTGTCACCCGTGAGGACTAGGACGGAATAGCTCGTTTCCAGTAAAAAGGGTCTCCGGTTACACTCACCATACGAAACAAAGCAGCATTAAGCTGCTATTTCACGCTGGTATTCTGTGAGAGCGTGGTCCTTCCCCGGTCGAACCGACCCATTCGTGCTACAACTATACTTCTAATACAACTGCATGGTTCTGCCACGTATAAATGACGTGCTTCATTTTTTTTTTTCATTTTAAAATTGTTCTCGTAATAATCTGATTGTAAATAAATGTTCATTATTTTTTTTTATAAATAGCTTATCGATTAAAACAAATGTTTAAAAATAATTAAATCGCGCTAATTAAAGTAGTAGGAATGTTTAAAGTTGAAATTGGCACTAAAAGGCTGGTAATTGGGTCATCCACCCTACAAAGAGTGAATATAAAATTTTAATCAGATGCGTGTAATCACTCTGGGAGCTTGTAGCAAACTAAACTCGCGGCCAACGTGTGGACGCGGCGACCAAACTCTGCCAACAATCCTTTGATCTTTTGTAAAAAACCGACACCACACGGATCTCGCGCCAACTTGCGTGCCATGGTTCCAATACATACCAATGAAGCCCAAACACCCCGTCTACACGTTGGCCAATGCTATTGGCCACTACATTCGCCACTGTGTTGGTCAACGTGTAGAGGCGGCCCGTAAGGCAATACGAGGTCATGGGTCGACATGTGTCGAACAGTGGAGTGCGCGGGAAATTTTAAATAGCTTGAAACATTTTACGAGTTATTTTATTAGTTGATATTATTGATTGATATTATTGATTGATATTATTGATTGATATTATTGATTGATTCAGGTTTAATAAGGCAAGCCCGGCTTTTCGGCTTTAATGGAAGCTTCGCCACTGATATAACTGCATCATGGCTTTACCACGTATGCTTGCTTTAATTTTAACTACTATGTTTAAAAAGTCATAAATTACGGAACTAAGTTCACTGTACTATAATTTTTCTATTGTTTCAGATTCTCCTTAACATAATGCAATAGGAAGATTAGCAGTGAAAGTATGTCAGGAAAGACAGAAGTGCGGTTTGAGGAAGCGGAGGAACAGAAGATTGCTATTTTGACGAGTATAGGCGTTATTATTGCCCTGCTGTCATGGTTGACTTATGGCTGCCCGATAATAGTTGGCCTCTTAGCAATTACAGCAGTTTATCTAATGACAGGTGATAGATACCAGTGGGTTTATATCTGGATGAAGACGTACAAAAGAGATACGATGTAAGTACGTTTTTATTACAGGGTTATTTGATGTGCATCTTAGTATAAGTTTTTGTATTTCTCGGCACTTCACTAAATTTTATGAACGCTCTTTTAACTTCTTTGACTACCTTGTTGGTCTAGTGGTTGGAGCGTGGCTACTGATCCCAAGGCCATGGTCTCAAATCCTGGGTCGGGCCATAATTACTTATTGGGACTTTCTGTCACGAAATTGTCAATATTAACTAGGAGTCAGCAAGTTGGTGCTGCATCTGATCTCGCTCCAGTTGTGACGGAATGCCGTCCCATTGGATTATGGCAATGGTGGAATAAAGAGTGCACCTGTGTTTGCGCATACACTCGTCCTGACCCTGCCACGCGCAAGTGGCCAGTCCGAAATTATATAGTGACCGAAATTCGGACTTTAGGCCGTTATTATTAACTCCTTCAACGAATAATATACTTATTTGCAAACCGCACCCAATAAACACTGCTTCAAAAAGTCGGTTCGTTTAAAAGGTTAGGGGAGAAGGGAAACGACATGCTCCCGTGCGACCTGCAACATGCGACCACCTAAAAGTAAGTGATCAATCGCTACCCATAGACGTCCACAACATTAGAACAACTGCAGGTATATTACCGTCCTTTTTCAAAAAAATAAGCTTTTTCTTAAGATCTTACGGTCTTATAACTTAAAGAAGTCTGAACTTTCGCCTCGCATATCCCAAGAAGAATCTAAAGCTCTGTTTCTTACTTAAGATAATCGACCGTGTTGATTCACCACATCACACCGCCTGCAACTTTACAAGGCGCAGGTTCGGCCACGTATGTAATACTGTTCCCATCTCTGAGGCGAGCTCCCCAGTGCTAGCTCCTTACGCATCCAGCGCAGAGCGGCTCTAATCCTCGACGACAAAGTCCTCTCCGATGGGCTCAATACACTCACGCAGCAAAGAGATGTTGCATCGCTTTGTAGTTTCTATCGCATGTACCACAGAGAATGCTCTGAGGAATTGTTAAGATTAATTCAAACAAAATTCACGAAAGCGCATCGCGACAAACTCAAGATACCGTCCATACTACATGGGCTTGCGATGCAATATGCCGGTATGAAATGCTGCCTTGCTCTGCTGAGCACTCCAAGCTTTTTAGAGGCCAATTTGACCTTCCCCTCCAAGTGACCACAAAACTGTATACTATTCGATATGTTGACGCCGAGAATTCCGATGCTAGCGGAGGCAGCAAGGGGAGTGCCTACAAACTGAAGCGATACGACAAAGGATTTTTTTAGCGGTAAACGCGCAAACTTGTGTATTCTGTTGATTGAATTGGACTAGACTTAATCACCCCAATTCCAGACTTTGTTTAGCAAAGATTCGACTTCAGACATAAGTTTGTCCCGGTACTCGGCGACGTTTTCCTGAGAAATATTGGTGCGGTCGGTGTATAAGGCATCGTCGGTGCTGTCGTCTGCATAGCAATGAATGTTACCAGTTTGCAATGTATAATTGATATGCAGAAGAAACAGCGTTAGTGATAACACGCAGCCTTGTGGAACACCAGCATTAATAGACCTGTAAACAGAGCATGCACCGTCGAATATGACCTTGGAGCTCCGGTTAGGAAGGAAACAAATGATCCAATTGCACAATTTCTCGGGAAGCCCAAAGTAAGGGAGCTTCGAAAGAAGCATTTTGTGCCAGACCCGATCGAAGGCCTTCGCTATATACAAACTAACGACCAATGCGTGAGGCCTTGGACTTTATTACCTCCGCCCACGTATGAGTGAGGTAGACTAGAAGATCACCAGCTGATCGACCACGATGAAAACCTTATTGGCGGTCACCAATTAGCTGGTGATCTTCAAGGTACCTTATGAGCTGGCAGTTTACAATGGACTCCATTATTTTGGAGAACAAGGAAATGATGGCGAAAGGCCTGTAGTTGGACGGGTTGGAGTGGTCGGCCTTTTTAGGAATCGGATAATTCTTGGAAGATAGCTTTAGTCCATCCAAATCTATCTTCCATGAATTCGGGACTACGCCTTAGGAGTAGGAGTTTGGAAAAAGACTCGTTAAAACCGGTGCCAACACCGGAGCACACGACTTAAACTTATTAAGCTACTATTTTACGCTGGTATTCTGTGAGAGCGTGGTCCTTCCCCGGTACAACTATACTACGAATATAACTGCAGCATGGCTCTACCACGTATAATTTTACTATAAGTAAATAAACAACGCCTCAGTAAATTTTATTAACATTAAACCAATTTTCTTAATTTAGATATAGCATTATTTCACGTAGATATTATATTCTCTCCTCAGGTTTTAGATAAAATGCCTCATAGTTCACACAGTCTGTAATTATAATGGCTCTTCTGAAATAAGAATACGATAGTGGTAGGAAATGGTTATATCTATCAGAAACCATTAAAAAATTCCAGCGTTTCTCTAATGGTCGCCACACATGGCTGTAAAGGGTTTTAATTAATACATAAAAATAAAGTGAAATGTATATATATATATATATATATATATATATATATATATATATATATATATATATATATATATATATATAAATCGGAATCTCGGAAACGACTCCCACGATTTTCATAAAATTTAGTGTCCAGGGAGTTTCGGGGGCAATAAATCGATCTAGCTAGGATTTATTTTTAGAAAATGTCTTTTTGTCCGTGTTTTCAGGTAATGAAAAACTACTACAATATAAGAAGATAAATTTTGACACTGTGTTAATGGTCGTAATAGCTCAAGTGGATATCGATTTTATTAAAAATATTATTTCTACAATAAATAGTCATAAATCTAAATAACGCCACATTAGTAGATCCCACCCAAGCGAATCCGGGTGGGTCACTTATTGAAAATAAAGAGAGAAAGAGAATAATATGTATGTGTTCCTTTGTACGATTATGTAGTAATGAATATTTTTATGTCACTCACCTCACTGTCACTTTTTTACTTCATCTGAAGCTGTCACAAAGTAGGGACGTGTGCTTACAATTTTATCATACGTGTAAAGTGGATTAATGAAGTCAATTTCTGGGTTCGGTCTCACATTGATGTTCTATTTAGTACGGTTGAGGTCACTGAATTGATTTAATAAAGAGCTTAGGCATTCTGTAGTCATATTATATTAATCTCTATAATCGTTTGTTTTTAATGTCAATTTAGTACCAATAAGAATATCACAAATTCTGAACCCAATGATGATGTGATCGGGTCATTAATTATATTTATATTAATACTAAGAAAAAATCCAAAAAATTAGAGACTGAATCCAGAGTAGAAAACTAAGCAGTTAAATGTATATAGTGTACTAGTGGGCCTGGCAGACGTTGTCCATAGAATAAAATACCAAAAACCCGATTACAATACCACCTATCGGATCTAATAATCTAAACGATCAAAGGACCATTATTTTTCACCCGAAGATTGTCGTGCAGGAACATGAACTTTAAAATGAATTTACAATTTTATTCTCTTTAAATGTGGAATTTTTAACATATTGAACAAAATATTAATTCATAAAATTGTTCGAAACGAAATAAGAAATAAAATTATGACAATTACTGGCTATGAAAGAAAGAGAAAAAGAAAATGTGCGTGCGCACTGCTCTCTCTTGCTTATATCCCCTACTCAACTCCCGTTCGTCTCGCCCTATTACACTTTTCGTAACGCTTTCGTCACGCGTTCACCGACTTACTCCCCAAGTTAAGCCTGTGTAAAGTAGTTTTACTTCAAAAATTCATCAAAATCAGTACAGGAGTTTAGGAGGATTTCAGTGCAAACGTACGCATAGAAAAATATTTATAATATATATAATGATAGGTAAGAGCATATTTTTGTTTGGTGTCGTTTTTCACCGTGGGTTTCGTGAGAGGCTATTGAGGAAAATGTCAGATAAAAATTTTATAGTGTTCGATAGTGGTTTAACCATCTCAGTAACGCATCAACGTCAAAGGTGCCAGGCGCTGGTCTGTGATCGCCAATCCGGCTGCCAAGGGTGTCAATTGATGCAAACTCTACCCTAACAGATGAAATTCTGAAAAATTATTTATTAAAAGAAATCGTACTTTTTCTTAAGCTTACATTATCATTCACATATGTTCAAAATTTCAAATCCTTATCGGGAAGTTATATATTACTAAATTCAACTCAAACAGACTTACAAAAGCGAGTTACTAAAAACGTGGTAATATAAAAGGGAGTCGAAATCGTCAGCCTCAAAAGGAATTTTGCAGGCTGTGTTGAAAGGAATTTTGAATAATACAACAGAACTAGGAAGATAAAGATGCGTAGATGTACAAAAAAGAACCTACCGACCAAGGCAATTAGCTCCAATTAATTGTACTGTTAAATTTATAAAATGTGGTGGAGATATTATGATATTAAGTCTGTACGAATACTTGTACGTGGTAGAACCATGCTGCGGCTGTAATATGTTTGCAGCACGAATGGTTCGGCTTAAATGGGTAAGTACCACGCTCTCACAGAATACCAGGGTGAAATAGTAGCTTAATGCAACTGTTTCGTATAAAAAAATCTATCTTAGTACTCAGGGGTGACAAACATTCAAATTTTTATTCTATGTGTACTGCATTCAGGTGTACTGTGTGCATGTTTATCGTTATACTATATAAAAATTACACGGAATTTTGTATTCGTCGTATTCTGAGTTCAAACTAAATTTCTAATTTATATTTTTTGTCTAGATTTTCTTGTGCGATGGACTTTCGAGGTTTCAAGCATTTGCTACATACTGCTGTTAGATAACTCAACATTGTCAAGACGTGTTCACGAGTGCAAGATTATTTCTTTTAGTGCAACGATACATTCGTAGTGTCACACTAAAATAAATAATCTCCACCCACATTTTAGCTTGCGGCCTTTAAGGAGGCCTGGTCTAGTATGGTCTGTAGCCCTGAGACCGATTAAGCTGTAAAAGCCAAATGGTCAACAGCACAAATATCTCTGAAACTAAACTAGACTTCGAATTT